AAGAGAAGAAGGGGAGGAAAGAAGGATGAGGGGGAAGGGAGGGGAAAGAGATCAGAGGAAAAGGGGAAAGATGAAGGGAGAGAAGGGGGGAAGAGATGGAGGGAGAGAAGGAAAAAGACAGACGAAGATGATAGACGGAAAGAGGCAAGAGGAGGGAAAAGGAAATGGAAGGGAAAATCCGAGCGGCCAGAGAGCTTTGAACTCACCGGTGTTGTACACGTGCAGTTCGTCCACTATCCCCTCGTTGCCTCCACCAAACACCACGATGAGCTCCTTGATGGCCACGGCGCGGTGGCCGTGGCGGGGTCGGGGTACTGGACCCGACCAGCCCACCACTCGCTTCCAGCGGGGCTGCAGGAGCACCGCTGGCGAGTTGGCGGGCGACACGGCCGAAGCCATAGTTCCGGGAAAGGGCGCAGTGGGAAAAAGTCACCAAGCGGGAATGGAGCCCTTCAACAGCTCTCACACACCCCCTTTCGTCTAAGGCAGCTCTCACGCAGAAGCGGGTTCTCACACAGCGGTGCACGGCTCCATGGAGGCCGCCATCTTAATTATCCTCCTTCCCTTCGGTTCTTCCCCCTCTTCTCGTTCACCCTGTCTCCTCAAGAGTCGCCTGAAACTGTCGAGCGCCTGAGCCTGAGAGGCTGGAGGCCGTCGAGTCCTGCCGCTCTGACTACTTGCCCGGATGCTCCTGCTTACGAGCTAGAGCGGGAGGCCCTGGGAGCCGCCATCTTGAGCCGCCTCTCTCTCCTCCCTTCCTCAGTCGTAGCCCTCCCCCGCCGGAAATGGCGGAGCCCCGGCCCGGTTCCCACACCCCCCAAGTCCCCTGCACTGGCCGGCTTCCGGGGCGGGTGGAAAGGAGCCACAAGCGCGGCGGTTGTCCCAGCCCCGCCGGCGCTCAGACCACAATTGTGGGAGCCGCCATCTTGAGACCGTCCCTCTTCCCCGCCCAGCGCTTAAGTGCAGCCGCCGCTCCCGAAACGGCCTCGACACTTGTAAGGAATAGAGGCGCGCCGGAGGCCAGTGGAACGAGTTCGAATTGTCAGGGGCTGTTCGGAGGCTTGCGCCGTACGGCTTGTGAGGTCTCAAACCTCTCCCCTTAGTCCGCCTCTACTCCTCAGGCAGTGCCTGCCGCCCTGGGAGCCGCCATCTTGAGACTAGCTCCCGCTACCCCCCTATTCTCTTCCTCCTGGGTCGGTTCTTCTACTGCAAACCAAACGCAAGGCAGCGTCCGATCCTCGCTTCCCTCCTTATGACTCCTTCCCACAGGAGCCGCTTCAAAGAGCCAGAGTTAGGCCCCGAAGTGGCAACTGTACGGCAGGAGAACCGGTAACGGCAGGGCGCTCATGCCTCCTCCCTGGGAGCCGCCATCTTGTGTAAAGAAGTAACAACTAAACATGGCGGCGGCGACGGTCGGGCGAGTGGGCGGAGTCCAGCTACGTCACTATTGCCCCCTCCCGCCGTAGCTAGGCTTCGATTCTGGCTCGAACCCTCTTAAAGGCGCCCACGCGCTGCCTCGAAGCGAACGTTCGGGGCTGTGGCGCGCTCGGCTCGGGCTCAGACTGCGCTCGGGTCAGGCGCAAGCGCGCCCGGCCCCGCGGCCCCCCTCAACGTTCCTCCACGCCTCCGCCCTGGGAGCCGCCATCTTGCCACTTCCTTTCGCCCGGCCGTCCGCGGGCGTCAAAGGCGACTTTCAGCACAAAACAAAGATGGCGGCTGCGGCATCTGGGGAATGCCCGGATGAGAATGTCTCAGACGCGCTCGGCCCCGCCCCCTAGGAAACTGTCCCCCGGGTCGCTGAAGGGACACGCGCCCAAGGAGTTGCCTTTAGCAGTAGGGACAGGGCATAAGTTGCTGAGGGTGGTTGATGGGAGACATTAGAGTAGCGCCTCAGGCCGGGGAGCGGAGGCCCCCCCGCTCCGCGCATCCAGCGTCCGCCGGAGAGGCGGACCGTGAGCCCCAGCCGCGGGAACCGGAGGCGGGGCGA